TATATGGACTCTCAATTTGCACATCCAGTTGGAAGAATGGTTTGGTTGGGTGGGGTGATTAATAAGTCAGACAAACTCGATTTAGGGCGGCGGAGGTGCTCCGTGGGCATGCAGGGCATTTTTTAAGAATTCGTCGGTGGGGGGGGAGGCATCTACAAAAAGGGACCATACTATACCGACTGTGGAGAGATAACAGATGGTTGTTGGCAACAAAAAGTTTGGTGTGGTATCGCATTTAATAGTAGGGGGATCTGGGGATATTCACCCCCAGAAAATATTTGTATTTTTCTACCCCTAGGACTGCAATTCCTGCATTTTCTGAAACAGATTTTTGGATATACAGCATTACATTATGCCGTAGATAGACTGAACCTTCAGTGAACTGTACTTACATCGCATGTTTCTGTAGATACGACAACTCGGTCACTCAGGGGGCTACTTAGAGGGCACTTAATTTTGAAAATTTTGCGTCTCTAGATCGTCGGAAATGGCATTTTCAAAGTCTTCTCTACCTCTTTCGTTAGGCCCTTTCATTAATTCTTTCATTATGATTTGCGAGTCTATGCTATCCGTGAGTCAGGATGGATTATTGTGAGAAATGTTGTTATTAAAATATCGATTACAGATTTCAAATACTTCTAGTTTCAAATTCAATTTTTTTTTTGTGGGGATAAAAACTATTCCGTCCCCCCTTTTTATAAAACAATGGGTTGGGGGCCCGCGCCCCTGCTTCCTACACCCCCTGCGGTTACTAACTTCAATCTTGGCCATAAACCGTAGGACGATACATTTTTATGCATTTTTAAGGCCTCCCCACCCCACTCAATGTTGCCGTTTCGCGTATATTTATGGTCTGACCTACTGTACAACAAAATTGTACGTGTACTAGAAATGTGGGAGAGCAACATTGAATGGGGGGAGCGGGGGGAGGTGCAAAATGATTTTAAAACCCAAGTATATTAAAAAGTTGCGAATTTGTTTTGTCGTTCCACGAACTTTTGGCCAAGATTGACCTAGGTTATTGCTGAATAAAATGCAAGGGGGTAAGTTATCGAAAACCACTTAAAGATTGTGCATATTTGACATGAAAATATGTATGTAATATAAAACGGTTTGAACATGGGCTCGATTGTCACTCGGTTGTCACTTTGAAACACTTAGCGTTTTCATGGTTTATGCTTCAATATTGCTCTTTTAAGGCGGAAAATATAGCGAAACAACAAAAATGCAGAGAACTTTGCAATACGCGTGACGTCACAGATTGCAACTACAATCAGGAGCAAAAATAATGAGACATTTCACGTTTTTGGCCATTTTCAAGTACGTCGGCCTTCCCCCTCCCCCCATGATCAATGTTGGAAAAAGCGGGTTGAATATTCTCTTTTCAGTCATCCACACAACATTGAATTGGGGGTGAGAGGGGCATTTATGCGTTTGTCTCAATAATTTTTGCTCCTGATTGAATCAGGAGCAAAAATAATGAGACTTTTCACGTTTTTGGCCATTTTCAAGTACGTCGGCCTCCCCCCTCCCCCCATGATCAATGTTGGAATAAGCGGGTTGAATATTCTCTTTTCAGTCATCCACACAACATTGAATTGGGGGTGAGGGGGGCATTTATGCGTTTGTCTCAATAATTTTTGCTCCTGATTGTAGGTTGTTTTGCTTACGTCAGCGAGAGTCCTATCCATTTATTTTATTATCCATGATATAACTTTCAATTGTCGCGGGATAATAATTTTCAGAATATTAAGTACTAAGCAAAAGTGTTTAGGTAGCGCGTATTGATATATTACGGGTTCTACTTAATCACAAAGTATATAAATTGTATAAAATGTATCGATTGACACTCAACTC